GGATTTAGATTCCCTGCTTTTGGGGGGATTTAGATTCCATGCTTTTTGCAGGATTTAGATTCCCTGCTTTTTGGGGGATTTTCCAGGCAGGGTTGCTCTGGCACAGGAGGGGGTGCAGGCTGCAGGAGCAGGTTCTCATGGCTGTTTCTCCACTCTCCTGCAGGAACAAAACTCTTCCTGACCCTCCTTTTCCCTGGAATGTCCCAAATATCCCCCTGGCAGCAGGAGCTGGGCTGGGCTGGGTTGAGGATCTGCACAGAGGTGAGGAATCCATGGGAAAAGCTCAGAGGTGAGGAATCCATGGGAAAAGCCTGCTCTGATGGAATCCCAGAACCCCAGATGGTTTGGGTGGGAAGGGACCTGAAAGTTCATCCCATGGCAGGGACACCTCCCACTGTCCCAGCTGCTCCAGCCCCAGTGTCCAGCCTGGCCCTGGGCACTGCCAGGGATCCAGGGGCAGCCCCAGCTGCTCTGGGAATTCCATCCCAGCCCCTCCCCACCCTCACAACCAACATTCCCTCCCAATATCCCATCCCATCCTATGGATGGGGAAAAGGGCTCTGGAGTGGAGAAGCAAGACTTGAACCCAGCCCTGGTGCCAATGCAGCTCCTTCCTCATTCCCAAAATTTCTCCTGCTTAAAACCCCCGTAATCTAAAATCAGCACTCTTTGGTTTGAGCTACATGGGAATTTTCCAGTTAAAATGAAAAAAAAACCAAACCAAAACAAAACAAAAAAAGTAAATCAAGTAAATGATGTTAAAAGAGGAATTTTCTCTCCCCAAAATCACTGGGAAGCCACTGCAGAACTTTAATTTCTCTAGCAGGAGCATGGGTTCATATTAAAATGATGCTGCTCCACTACAAAATATGACCAGAAGACTGTCTATTGATATCAGTATAAATAAAAGGACACAGGGAAGGGCAGCTCCTGAGCAGGCTGGACACAGCAGAGGTGGGGGATGTGCTGTGGGTCAGCACTGCCCAAATCCTTCAGCATCCTGTGCCTGTCACAAGCCTTGGATTGCTGAATGAGTCAGAAAACCTAAACTGGGGATAAAATAACCACTGACCTGGGTGACAAATACCTGTTATTCCTCCTGATGGAACATCTTTAAAGCTGTCAGACAGCTGGGAAAAGCTGTTGTTGCACGGATGGAGCAGATTTTAGAGCCATATTTCACATTCTATTCTCTCTTTTTGGTGTTGTGAACTCCATTGTCTTTTTTCTGTGTGTTATAAAATCCTGATGAGCTCAACCCCCAGCACTTGTGCTACTCCCAAACATTTCTCCTTCTCCCTGCTTGTTCCTCATCCAGGACTGGAGTTATCTTGCTTAAGTGAAGATTTAGGTGTGAAATGGAAGGGGGATTTTCACATCTTTAATAAATAAAATCATTTCTCAGCTAAGAGCTCGCCAGGCATTGATTTACAGAGTGATTTCTCTTCACTCTCTGTTTTTTATCCTCTTCCAAGCAAACAAAGCAACAGAGAGCTCCAGAGTGAAAATGCCGCGAGGAATCACAAATCAAGACTACTCACTTGAACTCAGCCTAAAGTGAAGCTTCAAAAAGCCTGGAGGGGAGTGCAGATTACAAAGGAATCCCACCTGGTCTGGGCATTCCAAGGAGAGCTTTTCCCCTGCTGGAGCCTGGCATCTGGGGTGCAGTGCTGGAGGAGAGCCTGGAAGCTTCCAGTTAAATTATTCCTGAGTTTGTGCAGGGTGGGGTTAGCCCTGGCCTCCAAGAGGAGCCACTTTGCCTCGGTGAGTTTTCCTCCTGCAAGTAAAGATCAAAGGGTTGGAATTTCTCATGGAATGGTTGGGCTGGGAGGATCCTAAAGCCCATCCCTGTCCCATGGCAGGGACAGCTCCCACTGTCCCAGCCCAGCCCTAGGCACTGCCAGGGACCCAGGACAGCCCCAGCTGCTCTGGGAATTCCAGCCCAGCCCCTCCCCACCCTCACAGGGAACAATTCCTCCCCAAAATCCAATTTAAAGCTTTTCTCTGCCAGTTTAAAGCCTTCCCCCCTTGTCCTCTCCTGACACCTCCCACCAGACCAGGCTTTCCCAAAGCCACCAAACTGGCCTTGATTTCTGGCACTGCCAAACATGAAACCGTGCTACCTCTTCTTCCTTTTCCTTTTCAGTGAAAAAAACAACCCCATTTTCTTCTCTTGCTGCTTTTCCTGCTGGTTTGCTGCCCGTGCCCCGGAGTGTCTGAGAGATTTCCCTCCTGGAGAAGGACCCTGGGCTGGAGGGAGCCCCACACCCACAGGTAACTGCTGCCAGGGCGTTTTCACAGAACCACAGAATAATAGAACCACAGAATCGCAGAGCCACAGAATCCCAGAATAATAGAATCACAGAATCAACAATCACAGAATCACAGAATCACAGAATCACAGAATCACAGAATCACAGAATCACAGAATCACTGAATAATAGAACCACAAAATCACAGAATCACAGAATCCCAGAATCACAGAACCACAGAACCACAGAGTAATAGAACCACAGAATCACAGAATCAATCACAGAATCAACAATCACAGAATCCCAGAATCCCAGAATCCCAGAGTCACAGAATCACAGAACCACAGAATCACAGAATCACAGAATCACTGAATAATAGAACCACAGAATCACAGAATCAACAATCACAGAGTCACAGAATCCCAGAATCACAGAGTCACAGAATCCCAGAATCAATCACAAAATCCCAGAATAACGAGGTTGGAAGAGACCTCTAAGATCATCAAGTCCAACCCATGCCCCAACACCTCGACTACAGAACCAAGTGCCATGGCCAGTCCTTTTTAAAACACATCTGGAGATGGTGATTCCTCCACCTCCCTGGCAAGACAATTCCAGTGCTTTTTATTCTATTTTTATTCTATTTTATTCTATTTTCTCCTCATCCCTTGCTGAGTTTCCACAGCCCTGAGTACAGCCCAGCCCTGGGCTGCCCTGGAGCCATCCCAGTGCAAAAGAAACGTGGGATTGTGCCTGACAGGCTGAGATTGCTGAGGGAAAACATTCCCCCCCAGCAGCCCTGGGAACAGGAGTGTCCCAGTGCTGCCCAGCCAGGAGAGCCCAGCACTGTGGGAATCCTTTCAGGTTCCTTTTATCCCTTTTTTTTGGAGGCAGCTGTGTGGTTTGTTTGTTTTTCTCCAGCATCCCCGCGGTGGTGGAGCTGCAGGAGGCACTTTGCCCTTCTGCAGGTGTGCAGTGGGCAGAGGGAGGGAGCACGCTGCTCTTTGAGCTCAGAATCCAGGATTAACCACCCAACAGAGGGAGGAGGCTCTCAGCTATCCTGCAGGACAAAGCAGTGGAATTCTCTCCCTGGACAGAGAGATCAGAGTGGAAAAGGGAAGAAAAAAGGTAAAAAACAAAAGAGGAGGGAGCAGACCTGGATTTGGGGGAGGAACTCCAGAGGAAGCAGGAGGTGCCACCTCAGGTACAGAGCAGAGGGATCAGGGATCCTTCAGGGTCCCCTCCAAGTTGAGAGATGCCAGGGTTCCATCAGCTTCACTCACAGCTAATTAATTCATCATTCTCTTGGAAAGTTCTCCCATCCCCATTATGTGTCTCAGGATGTCTTTAGGAAGTTTAATGGTTGTGTTTAAGAACACAAGAAAAATCTTTCAATATCGATAAATTTGAGTGTATCCATCCCTTTTTCACATTCCTGCACAATTCCTGTCAGCTTCTGATGTCATTCCTTCAAATTTCAAAGTGCCTGATTGTTATTGAAATGGATTCTGAAACAAAACCCACAGGGTGAGTTTGGGGTGTTGCTCACACACAAGCTCCTTCTAAAGCTTGAAATATGATGAAGATGTGCTTTAAATCTATGCAGATTTAAATGTGTGCTCTCAATCTATTCAGGAGCAGTTTAGGAGTTAGGGAATGAATTCCATTTGCAGCCAGAGCCTTGGCTTTCCCCCAGAGCACCTGAGTCACCAGCGAGCAGAGGCTGACAGAAACCAGGGACTTTCTTCGCTCTGCCCTAGAATCATAAAGTTAGGAAAAGAAAACAAAAAGCAAACCAAAAAAGCAGCTGGGAACAAAAGTGCTGCTGCAAAGGGGGTGAAATCCAGCAAAGAACTTCAACTTATGGCTTTAATATTTAAGAGTTGTTTAATTTATAGGGAGGCATTGGATTTGAGGGTGTTCTGTCCCTGTGGGAGGGGGACTGGGGCAGGCTGGGTGAGGGGTGGGGTCCCCATCCTGGTGGGGCTTGGCTTGGCCAGAAATCTGCTGGAAATCTTGCTCAGAACCATGGAATGCTGGGCTGGGTTGGGATGGGAGGGACCCAAACCCCCCCCAGTGCCACCCCAGATCCCACCCAGCGCCCCCCTGCCATGGCAGGGACCCCTCCCACTGTCCCAGCTGCTCCAGCCCCAGTGCCCAGCCTGGCCTTGGGCACTGCCAGGGATCCAGGGGTGCCACAGCTGCTCTGGGAATTCCATCCTGTGCCAGGGCTGCCCACCCTGCCAGGGAACAATTCCCAATTCCCAATCTCCCATCCAGCCCTGCCCAGGGCTGGGGAGCCACAACTCTGAGAGGTCCCCGAGCAGCCGGGGCAGGGGACCCGGCCAGCTCCATCAGGGAAGTTCCACAAGGTTTAGCAAAGCTGGATTATGGCACGGGGATGTGGCATCTGCTGCTCACAGGCTGCTGGGAAAACAGCTGAAGGGTTTTTGTGGGGTTTTTCTCTTTGCTTTGTTTGTTTACTGTGTGTGTGTGTTTGCGCTTCTGAGCCTTTTGAACTCCCAGCAAAACAGGCTGAGCACAGAGAGAAATGCAGAATGATCCAGAAGCTGAAGTGGGGGAGATTTTTAGATGGGATTTTGGGAAGAAATTGTTGCCTGGGAGGGTAGGGATGAATGCCCAGAGCAGCTGTGGCACCCCTGGATCCCTGGCAGTGCCCAAGGCCAGGCTGGACACTGGGGCTGGAGCACCTGGGACAGTGGGAGGGGTCCCTGCCAGGGCAGGGGGGCACTGGGTGGGATGTGGGGTCCCTCCCACCCAAAGCATTTGGGATTTTATGGAAATATCTCCAATTCATTCTGGTGAGCCCAAGCTCTCCACACCACTGGGATTAAACACATTCCCTCATTCCCGTGGGATTTTAATGGGATTCACTCCTTCCACTTCAGGGGTGCCTGGAACTATTCCTGGTGCTGATTTTCACAGAGAAGCAAAGCTGAAGCACTTGGGCTGTGCTTGAGGGAAGCTCTCCCTCCCTGGACCCTGAAGCTGATGCCACAGTAGGAATGGCCCTAGTTCCTCCCTCCTGAAGCTTCAGCCTCTCCCAGCTCAGAGTTTGGGGCTGCAGGAAGGAAAAATGTCCTTGAATCCATCCGTGAGGGCCAAATGGATCACATGTAGAGCCATCAATCGAGATATTTCTCGCCCCCTGTGCTGCCTGGGTGTGTCATGGATGACTCCCTGCATGTTCCCAGTCCTGATTTGGGATTTGGTGGCTGCTCCAGGAATGTTTGATCTGAGTCAGGTGTGAGATACCTGACACGGCTTCAGTAGGAGCAGGAACACGCTGCCCTGGGCACTTGGAGCTGCAGAAAGACAGCCTTGTAAAATGTTCTCCTCTTCATTTCCCCAGGAACATTTCACATTTCAGCTGGTGTCAGAGATGCTCTTGAGGCTCTGGAATCTTTGGGGGTTTTTTGGCTGTTGAAGGGTGGGGGTTGCATTGGCAGCTGAGTTTGTTTGATGAAGGAACAGTGCCCCAGCACAGCACGTGTCCTAAAACCCTCAATAATTCCTCTTGCAGCTGCCAGAGGCTGCCAGGCCCGTGGTGGCCAGGCAAAGAGCTCGTTCCTCTCCTGGAAGGCTCTGCAGGAGCTGTTCTGATGGGTTGCCCAGCACAGTTCTGCTGTTACTGAGGGCGATGCTTCATCCTTCGCTCAGCCAGGCTTCCTGGAAAGCAGAAGAAATGAGCTGCCCAAAGTGGGGGGTTTTCTCAGAGAAAAATAAAACAACAGCATCAGAAAAAACAACTCGAAGGTTGTGCGGAGCTGCCTCAGAAGAGAGAGAGGTGAGAGAACATTCGTGTGCACCAGCTGTGGCACGGTTTGGCTCTGGAACCCGGGCAGGATGAAGGGAGGTGAGGCCAGCCTGGGAAGGGGAGGAGGAGAAGAGGATTGTGTTCCCAGAGCTGTGGGCTCTTCGTGGCTCCTGTCCTGCCCTGAGGGAGAGAGCAGATGGCTGGGAAAGGCAGGAGGAGACTGGAGGGCTCTCTCCAAGGCTTGGCAGCACTGTCTGGGAGGATTTGTGAGGAATTCATTCCTGTGGCAGCAAGGACCGAGGCAGATTTACCCCCTTGGCACAGACTGTGCCCGTGAGGAGGGCACTGCCAGGACAGGCAGGGCAGGATGGCTGATGGTCCCTTTCAGCAGGTTTGTGTCTGCCAGGAAGCAGGGACTGAGCACTGCTGCCCTGACAACTCCAATAAATGTAAAATATCAGCTCCCTCTCCCCTGGACAGACACTCAGAGACTGCCTTCAGCCAAAGCAGAGCAGGAATGGCTCTCAAAAGAGATATTAAATCTCTCTGCTGAGTGCCAAAGGCTTTGTGATGGCTGTGATTGCACTTCAAGGGCTCCTGGAGTCCCACTCCTCCTCTGATCCTGGGAATTCAGCTCTCTGTGTGTGGAGAGCCCTGGTTTGACCCGGGGACTGCTGGGGTTTGGCCAGGGGGAATTCACTGGGGGGGAGCAACCCTGCAGCCTGTCCAGCATGAGATATTCCTGTGTGCAACCCAGGAGTTGTTCCTGTCCAGCCCAGGAGATTTCCTGTGTCCAACCCATGAGATGTTCCTGTGTCCATCCCAGGAGATGTTCCCCAGGGCAGGGAGCTCCAGCCAAGAGCTGATCTGAGCCTTTGGGGGAATCCATCTGATCCTTCTGGGGGAATTTTGCTTCCCTCCCACCTCTCCAGCTGGCTCCGTGCAGATCAGCTCCTGCTGCACTCCTGCACTGCTGGCTGCTCTCCTGCTGCTTTTCCCAGCTTTTACAGAGATGGGACAACCGAGAGGCCTTTTAAAAGATTTTATTCCATTATCAGTCTCAATGAACAGCGAGGCACAAGAGGTGTCAAACTCAGCACCATTCCTTCAGAAGCCAAACCTATTTCCTGCTTACAACACCTTGAAATGCTTTTCAGCCTCTCAGCAGCTCAGTGTTTGCACACAGATGTACCAGACAGTGTGACCTTTCTATTGCAAATGCAGGTGAACCCAATGGGAAGAAATGACCATGTCTGACTCAGTTCAGAAAGCTGAATTATTTCTTTATTATAATTATGCTAATATACTATATAAAAGGAGGATATTAAAACTACATACTACTTTCTCGAACTCCAACACAACTCGTGACCCTCTCTGAGAGCCCAGCCCCAGGTGGGTTG